TTTTTTAAAATTTTATTTCTAAAATGTTACAACAATTTATGCAATTAATAAGCTTTTATTTTTGTCAAGTATTTAGATGACTTGTGCCTTGATATTGCAAGCTATCTCAGAAAGTTAGTAGTAGATATAGTATATTGTGTGTCAGTCTACCATAAATGTGTGATAGATTTGGATTTTTTGATATTATAGCTTTTATAACTGTTATAAAACTTTGCAGTAATAATCGGTGTCAAAGTCAAAGTATTGATTTTTAGCAATATTTACCATGATCTCTTTTTCCCGCTTGTGTCAAAAACATTGCCGTTTCAGTTCAGAGTTAACAGCAATAATTTCTTTCTTTGATTGGTTAAATCTTTATATTCTCACATTCGGAAACTCTCTCATTTACGTTGCCCTTTATAGCTCAACTGAGCCGAAACCTTGAAAACCCAAAATATTGTCAAAACGTTTATTAAAAATGCAGATTTTAGATTTCTGTTAAGAGGGCTAAAAATAAACTTTCGGTAATGGAATGTAAATCATTCAACTGTTAAATAACTGATTTGGCAAAAATAAAGATTTCCTAACTTCTTTGGAACAAAGTTATAAACCGTATATAATTTTCCCCCTAAAATGAGGGCGTTGCATTCTTTTTATTGTGAGTATATACTAATGTAAATATTTTGTACTGATAATAAAATACAATTGTTGCCATAATAAATACTCTTGATATTTACACTTGCAAATGTTTGCTTTTATGTAACACAATTGAAAAAGGCGGTTTTATTTCTCTGTAAAACACGTTCGTCATGTGACCATAAATTCATTATTTGGCCATAAGCGATCTACGTAATTCATAGTGACGTCATAAGTGATCGACGTGTTCAACACATTCAATTTGGAGATTTGAAAAAAATAAATCTTTAATGGATTTAAAACGTTAAGTACCTTATTATTTGTAATAAATCGATCACAAATGTAAATTAAGTAATATGGTAGATTCCACCCATTCTCAATATAAGGGCTCAAATAATGTCGCCTCGTTTTCATTTAGAAGAAATATCACTGATGTAATTTTTAAATCAACATTATAAATAGTCATATAACAATGAATAAGAATTCATATAATTATCGATCCGAAAGGGTATTTAAGGAGTTCCAAATTCAAATATAGTAGCCTATTTGAAATGTACGTTACTGTCGCCGAGGCAAATATTATGCTGAATACCCTCTGTGTAATATATAGTTTTGATTCTCAAGTAAAAAATTTCTGATAAGCTAAACCCTGTATCATATATAATTCTTTTCATAACATTAAATACATTTTCTTTGTGATAATAAATAATTTTTATTGTGCAATGTCCCTGTCGCTTAATTCTATTTCAACCACATTACAAGCAAACACAAAGATTATACACCTGATAGTTTTGTTCTCCTTTATTTATTGATGGGCTAAATTTGAAATTTGAGAGGATGAATAACTCCTACTTAGATAATGTAACATGAAATTGAACAATTTGAGCAACTTTTATAAATATGTTTACGGAATGAAAGACATTTTCAATCGTAGAGATAAGAAAGAAATGTACGTTACCTATATTCTTCCATTAAGAATATATATTAATTAGAAAATATGAGACGACTCTGAATAAGCAACCCCTTGTATCCTGTAAACTGGCAAAGACGTTTTGCTTAACACAATTAAAAATTATTTTTTACATGAAAAGTGATCATTTGAAATGTACGTTACTGAAATGTACGTTACCATGAAATTCGAATTAAGTGAATCTCGCACGAATTTTCATGTATTCTCATACTTTCACACACTCGAATGTGTACACAAAGGAAAGTTTCAAAGGTTGGAGGTCGGTTAAATCCCAAAATTAATGAAAGAAACGTTTCTGCTGAGGGAAAAAAAATATATTAAGGTCAATTATATGTAATATAATTTTGATACCTGATATATATTTCTGAATACGAAACCTGTATGATGCATTTCTTATGATATGCAAGTTCAAATAGTATCAATATACTGCGTGTCTAACGTACGCTTGTGGAAGAGAATTGATTTTTATATTTGAAATGTACGTTACGTATGGTAACGTACATTTTGCGCATTTCTAACTGACATTTTTTTAAATTTAGTCAATGATTTGCGTTTACACGAGCGAAACAAAATTATCGTTACAATCCATTTGACAACTGACCACATAAATCCATCTAAATGTACCCCCGAAATCCTCGTAAATGAGGTAGATTATTACCACATGCTAGAAAATTTATTTCTAAGTGTCTTAAATTCATCTTTAGCAACCTTTTTGCAGTTTGTTTACTTTTAATTAATTTGCGCCTTTTCGTCAATATTAATTTAATTGTTGTTGATAATTTAAAACAAGATATGCATAGGGTTATAATTGGTAAAAAAAACAAAACAAAACAAAAAAAAAAAAAAGAAAAGAAAAAGAAACAAAACAAATAAACCCAGAACACAAGACGGCCACGTACATTTCTAATACTGAAAGGCACACACTACTCAGTTTTGTTTTAATCATTGCATTTTGGGTTATATTGTTCCAGATCTGCTGAAAAGTACGTATGTTTGTGTTTTGTCAAACGATGTTGCAACATACTAAATGAAATTGTTATCTAGACTGTCGATGGATATATTCGAAATAGATTTATGTTAAGTTTCAATGGCCAAACACAAGCATTTGTTAGATCATAGCAAACTACGTCTGACTCTTATTTTTTTGTCTGTACCCTTGCACACAGGTAGAAGTAACTAGGCTACGACCGTTGACAATTTCAGCGAAACAGCACAAAAGAATGGTAATGAACTGAGATGGAGGGGACTCCCCAATTTTATGTGAAATGAACGTTACCGAAGTGACGTGACATTCCTGTAGTTGATGACAAATAACCACGTTTGTTACATTATGATTTCTTATATTACTGCGTTAAAACGCTTCATTGAAATGATTTTTATGTCAATAATTGCTTTTTTTTTCAATAATCTTTCTTATTACTAATTTACATATTATTACAAGCTTGAAATGTACGTTACCTACTCATATTCCGAGGCAATCGTGTCTTTATAGTGGTGATTGTGACATATAACACAATGTGATTACATAGAGAATCTCTTTTGGAATAAACTGAAACAAAACGATGAATTTTTAGATGAATTTTAAGCTTTTTATTAAACAGAAATATATCTTGAAATGTACGTTACATTTACGTAGTTGTCTAAATCGGCATGGATAAATGTTAAAAAAGACAGTAACTACAAAATAGAATTTTATTACATGTACGTGTTAAGTTCCACTATCTATAGAAAATGACAAGATTACAAACTGATCGCTCTAAACAAAACAGAGAGAAGAATTTAAAGCATATATTTAAAAAAAGTTTTGATACATCTGGATCAAAAAGTAACCTTTGTTTTTTGAAAGGAAAAATCAAACGCACGTTCGTATGCCGAGAAAATATGTTGTTGACAGAGTTGGTAGGATGTTCTGGTGTTAAGATGAGATATTCCAATTGTGATTTTAATGACTACATTTTTTTTACATATCTTATTGGACAATGAAGAAAGAGTAACGTACATTTCAAGCTACATTTCTGAATAAAATCACCCTCTACTTTACCGTCTTGTCATTATTCCATGTATTAAAATTTGACGAAAAAAACCTGGAAACAAAATCTTCAGATACTTTCTTTCAAAAGTAATTGATAGAAAAATTGTTATCTTGAACTTCATGTTTTAAAAAATCAGAGAGGCATTTGTGCCCTTATATTGAGAATGGTTGATCATTTTTTGCGTTTCATTGAGACGTAAAAGGGGTTGGCACGTGATAAAGTCTTCCATAAAGCCCTTTGAGCTATATTGAATTTGATCAAGCGATCAACCCGTTCTACATCCCAATAAAACTAAAAAATGATACCTTATTTCTTCATTATTAAAATTCTTTGTTTGATAAGTCACTTATGTGGCTCTCTAAAATACAATAGGTTTCTTGGTTAATAAGATGTTGTTATAAAACGCGAAGTACTTTTATTGATGAGGAAAGTGTTTGATATTTAAGAGGTATTTTCATACGATCATTTTTGTTACAGTGGTATCGTGGAATTTTCAAAATTGCTTTGATAACATGTAGCGATGATAGGACAGATAATACAAACATTTTTTTTTGGGGGGGGGGACTCAATATCATGTCAAAGGTATAGAAAGGTGGATAATTCTTAGAATCTTTTATCCTAAGACTTGAAAAGGAAATGGACATTGAAAATATTAGTAATACTTACTGTATTTTACATGACAAATATGGACAAAACACACTCAGTAAAGGTTTACAGATGACAACAAATTTTAGAATATGTTACCTTGGAGCTAAAAATGTAAAATAAACTTTATAAAACTATACCAAGCCAGGTTAATCTTATGAGGAAAAGTAGTATGATAAAAATTCAGAGAAATCACCATTTTCACCATTTTGCTTTTTCCCATAAAATTCACCTGGCTTGGTATATTTTCCTTAAGTTTAGATTACACTTTTAGCACTAAACTAACATATTCTGAAATTTATTTTCATCTATAAATATAAAAAATATTTACTTTTCTAAACCTTTGACATGATATTAAGTCTCTTCCAAGAAAAATTGTTTGCATCATCTGTCCTTATTTAGACATCAACAACATTTCTCCGTAAAACTCATTCTGAATCTATGCAAACATACTTATTGACGGCATTTGAAACCACCACTGGAAATCAGTCTGCATTTCATGACCTAAATCTGTAATTTCCCTCCCCATCTCTTATGTTTCGGAGGTCCGCCTTTGCTCTGCATTGTTTTACGACGGATTTTTCCATTATTTCCTGATCATAACAAGGAGCACACGGCGGGTGTGACAGGTCAGCAGGTGATGCACACTCCTCCATCGCACCTGATCCCATCCCTGATGTTTCGTATGTCCGTTGTTTGCTATGCTCATATTTTGCATTGTTTTATGGACTTTGAGATTGAATGCTCATTTTTGTTGCTACTTAAATTCCGGGATTATTTATTGTTCGTTATCTTTTTACACTGCATTCACCTGAAAAAGCTATTTCAGGATTCAAACTGCTCTGGACAAGACATGCCGAGCAGATCACAACAAAAATATAACATTGTATAGCAATAATACTTTAATAAAGCAAACGAAATCAAATAAAATAAGTTGACAAATTCAAACAATAAATGAATGTTCTTATTAGAACTAACGAAAAATATATTCCTCTGATTTTGTGAAACACACAAAAAAGCGGTAAGTGATGGCAGTTGATGAAAGAAATAAACCTTCTAAGAGCAATTTAATTAACATCATATACTAAAGGGTTCTAATTTAATCACTGAGAGTATCGCCTCATATGTTTCCTTGTCTCATTAAGAACTCTTTTGTACTTAAACAATTCAGCTCCCTCACTTTTTTGGACCTTAATCACTTCTCGTCGTGTCTTCTCTAAAAATGACATGCCCTGTTTGTCTATTACAGAATAGATCACTCTGAATCTCACTCTGACATTGAGGTCCACTCCAGATCTTATAAGTATCCTTAATTTTTCTGCCCCGTCCCCAATCCTTAGAAAGTCCCCATCTATCATAGTAAATAGCAGTGGTATCGCATCAGGGGTTTTATAATTATGGTGATACAGCTCTATCCATTGATTCACATTCATGCCCAAGCAAAACAGTTGTCTGAAAACATTACTAGTACTGTCTTGGATAATATTATGCAAATCGCCATCTTTACGCATACGCCATACTCTACCCCGTGTCGCCACCACATCATCCTTACTATCAGTCATCACATCACTTTGTCGTATGTTTACCAAACAGTCAAATAAATGGAACTTCAATTTATTCAAAAGAAACTCATTGTCAGTCTCAAATAAGTGCTGCACAACATGGAATCTGTTTTTCAATAATGCAATATACAACGCTGATAGGCCCTCTTTATTGCATATAGTTGAGTCTGCACCGTACTTACTGAGCATTTGTACAATTGGCATAAGTGTCACAGTATATTTTAAAACTGCTATATATAAAGGAGTTCTTCCTTTTAAATCTTGCAAATTAACATCAGCACCTGCGCCTAACAGCTCCTCCATTACTCTAAAATGTCCTCCTTCGCATGCTGCTGTCAGTGGTGTATTATTTTTAGCTTGAAAATTGACATATGCCCCTGCCTTCAGAAGCTCCTTGACTAAACTTATGTGTCCATTTTCACTGGCAATAAGTAATGGTGTACCATTATCATGTTGAATATTGACATCAGCCCCTGCCTTAAGCAGCATCTCTACCACACTTGTATTTCCATTTCGGCATGCTTGTAGCAGTGGTGAATCACATTCATCTCGCAGATTAACTTGAGCACCCGCCTCTAAAAGCTCTTTTACAACACTCAAATGTCCACCTTCACATGCTTTTGTTAGTGGTGTTGATCCATCTGCGTGTATGTTAACATCAGCCCCCACTTCAAGCAGCTTCTTAACCAAGATCAAATGCCCATGGGAACTTGCTTCTATCAGTGGTGCATAACCATGCATACCTTGAAAATTGACATCAGCCCCCTCCTCTAAAAGTGTATTCATTATGTCCATGTATCCTCCCCTACATGCCCCTGACAATGGTGAGCCACGGATACCCTGAGGATTGACTTCAGCCCCCATTTTTATAAGTTCTTGGACTACATTTAAATGTCCACAAGTCGATGCAGCTTTTAATGGCGAATCATATTCAGTATGTAAATTGATATCAGCCCCAGCATGTATCAGCTTTTCAACTAAACGCATACTTCCACTTCCACATGCCTCTATCAGAGGTGTATCACCATCATAATTACCTCCTAGATTGACATAAGCATCTGATTTTATAAGTTCCGTCACTACCTCAATATGTCCACCCCGACATGCTGATGCCAATGGTGTAGTATTACCACATCGTAGATTTACATCAGCTCCTGCACCCATAAGCTCCTTCACTACATCCATATATCCACCACCACATGCGGTCTCTAACGGTGAATTACTAATGTCTAGGGGATTCACCTCAGCACCGCCCTTTAGCAGCGTCTTTACTATACTGACATGTCCACCTTTACATGCAGCTACAAGGGGTAAAGTACCTCCACTTTTTAGATTAGCATCAGCCTTTGAATCTAGTAGTTTACTTACTAGACTTAAATATCCGCCTTCACACGCTGCTATCAGCGGTGTATTATATCCTGATTGTGGATTGACATCAGCGCCAGCCTTGATGAGAACGTTCACTATATCTATATGGCCAGTGTTACATGCTGCTATCAAGGGTGTATTACATCTACGCAGTTTTGCAAAATACTTCCATGCTTCAGCCACCTCCTTTGACATTTGAAAATGGCCCCTTTTAGATACTGCTATTTTTTCTAAATTAAATTCCCCTGGTAGATTAACATCGGCACCTGCCTTCAAAAGTTCTCTCACTATGTCTGTATATCCACCTTTACATGCTGTTGCCAGCGGAGTATTAAATTTACCAAGTTGAGTAACTTCAGCCCCAGATATTAGCTGTTCCTTGCTTACATCTATAAGCCCATTCTCACTTGCTGCTGTCAGTGGTTTATTATATGTAGCTCGAAGATTGACTTCAGCCCCAGCTACTAGCAGCTCCTTCACAACACTAATATGACCACTCTCGCATGCTGTCGTCAATGGTGTGGTATATTTACCTTGTAGATTGACATTAGCCCCCATCAATAGCAGTTTTTTGACCACAGCTACATATCCTCCCTCACATGCTGCAGTCAGTGGTGTGTCATCCCATCTAAAAACGTAGTCTAAATATCGCAGTGATTTGTTAAGTGTAATGTCATTTACATGTTTTATTATTATGCTTACAGTCTCCAATTCACCACTGTAACAACTCAGTACAAGTAAGCGGTATTGTTCAGATATTGACCGAGCCGTGGTATGTTTCTGATTTTTTAAATCAGTTTTGGATTTCAAGAAACATAAATTGTCTTCTGCATTATTTGTTTCAATGTTCTTTTTTTCTTGTTTTATTTCATCGTTCAACCCAGGATTGCAGGGATTCAAAAAAAGTTCAGATTGTGTTTCTTTGTGTAATTCTGTCTGCTTTACAATGTATTGTAGAATCCTAGTATGGCCGTAATAAATCACCCAGCTAATAAGCCTCACACTGTAAGCATTCTCTGAAATGCAGTTCTCATTTAAAAGAACACGCTGTTTGTACCAATCCTTGTTCCTCTCATCTCTCACCAGACTTTCCTTTGTCAAACGTTTTCCCTTACTCACCACATTACAGACGTCATGCATTTCTGATAAAAATAAAGCCTTCCACCCTACATAAGACCTTTTCTTTAAGATCTCAATAAAAAAACGACACACCTTTGGCTCTTTTAAAACCTTATTCCTGAAAACGTCATAAAGTTCCATACGTTCTACGTCTTTCAACAAACGCTCTGCTAACATGGGATATTGGTGTTCCTTTAATCTTAAACAGAGATTAAACAAAGCCATGTTGTCACTGCCTTCACCACTAACTGAAACCTTTTCTTTCTCTTCTTTACATTCACCACTGACTGCAGTACTTTCAAATGCTTGATCATTTCCACCGTCAGCAGCATTTTTTGTACATTTCTGAATTTTCACTTTGTTAGCAATATAGCTACTGCTAATGTATTTCAATATGAGATCTGGAAAATGACAGCCAAAATGATATGCAATGACCTCAAAAATAAAGTCATGGACAAAGCTATATTCATTACCACGTAGATGCGTATATGTCCGCGCCATGGCTTTTAATGCTTTATCAAATTTAAATGCATCTGTGTAACTCTCAACTTCACAGTTTTCAAGAACATCTGATTTCATATCATGAAACGCTGTGTTTTCCGTGTTTTTCAATATTTCCTTGGACAACTTTTTGTCATTGAACATGCATAAGACCAAGGTAGCATAATATAACTTGTTTTGGTGTTGCATTTTGTCTAATTCCTCTAAAATGCATTCAACTGGACACGTAAAGAACCTTTCAGCATTGTTTCGAAATTTCTCCTCTTTTGAGTATAGTTTACACAAGAGGGGAAACATACCTGAGGAGTCTCTCAGCAATGCATCGGGCAGTAATTTATCATCTAAACCATGTTTTAGAAGAATTCTTTTCTTGTCATCAACAGTTAATGAATTTTCAGAGCTATGCAGCATAACTGCATTTTTCTCATGCGTTAAAAACGATTTGTAACTGTGACATTCATTAAATACTGTTTCCCTACATGACATCAGTACTTTTGTGTCTTTGTGAGACGGATTTGAGATTTGTGTTTCATACTCCATTAATAGATTTAATTTTTGTTTTTGAAGACCTAATACGCCTACTACATCGTCAATGACAAAAACCTGTGGTTTCAGCAAATCACAATAATCTTCAATTTTTCTTATATCAATAATTGGTACAATCTCATATCCTTCCTTCTGGAGTATCAAGGATATATGTTGAATCGTCGCCGATTTTCCGGACCCTGGGATTCCAACAAAAGTCAAATAGGGTCTCTCTCTGAGTTTATCAAGCATTTCTTCGAAGTTATGCGTTTTGCTGAATACCTTGTCTTCTTCTACCCATTGTTTAATTTGTTTTTCATGGTTATCTACAAAAAAGCAATGTATTATTCATGATTATTTTTCGTTTGTTTGATTTTGTCAAGACTGATTGTCATACTGACTTGAAAACATAAGGTAACTTTGAAAAAGTACACGTAAAAGTCAATGATGTCTTGTTAGGTCAAGATATGGATAGCGTTTCAATATTTCAAACTCCAATATAAAAATGAAATCACGATGTTGGTTATTTCGAGATCCAGGATCTATGAATCAGCAATGCTTATATTTCCACCGTATGGCGATTTCAATATATCATTAGGACTTCCAACCTTTTATACTTTTTAATAATTTTTAAAAGTATTTGATCTGCCCCTCACTTCACATAACATAATGCGCCATAAAAGCGAAGTTCCTAACATCGAATTCAGTATATATATTAAACACTTCTTCCTATCAAAAACCAGAGATAGAGCAACTAAGCAACTATTTTTTTAAAAGATTGAAGATGATACACGTAAATAACTTCAAACAAATCATACTCATCAAAAAGGACAATATGACCCCCCCCCCCCTCCCCCGGAGCCAGGAATTTGAGACTTAGCTGAGATAAATGTTGGCCAAATTTTCAAAATCTTGATGAAGAAAAGAAACCATTTCGCTTGTTAGAAATTAGTTTACTGTATTTTTTCCAATTTGTAATATATTGATAGACGAGAAGCTTAGTTCAGCCTTGAGTGTTTGTGGGAGGGGTCTAGACTTGGATTCATGATTATATTATATATAACGTTCATAATAACCATGCAAAACATTCCTAATAAAGGTCATGGACTCCACTCGAGGTAATTTCAATGTTCAACAATTTGTTAAATTATACATTGACTTCTTTACCATGTTTAATTCTAAATGTATAATGGTATTCCTCTGGAAAAAAAAGCTATAAGTTTAGAGGAAATCTTTTGAGATTTGAATACATACCCTTTACATTTGGAGGGATGACGCTCTTTGGTGTCTTGATTTCATCTATAGAAATAGTGTAAAAATTGTAACATGTTAGTAATGTAAATATGATGTTGTGTTTATATCATTTAGTTCCTTTGTTTCTTAATTTTAAATATGATTTCACTGTCACAATTTACCGATGATGATAATATATCACATTGCATGCATCTTTGCATATGTAATTTGTATGAAAACAAATCATAGTTTGCTCACCTTTTTTTAATTTGACAATAATTATTATTTTGGTTTTTTTTTGGTGGATCGATTAAGAATAATCTTGCTTTTTCAACATTCCTGTATAGTTTATAATTTGAAAATTGTTATTTTACGTGAATTACGTCCCGTTCGACAATTTTTCTCACGTAAATTACGTCACCATATACTGATGAAGCACTTCAAATTCAAATACTTGATACAGCTTATGAATATCTAAAGTTTAATCTAATAAAATGATAATTCTATTCCTGCTATTCCATGAAGGGTCTCTTTTCTGAAACTACATGATTTGCAGGGAATAAAATCGAAATATAAATTTTTAGTTTAATAAGATTTGCCCTTGAGCTCAAAAGCATACCCTAGTTAAAATCTTTTTTGTCATTGATACTTTTTAATTAATCCTGCTTTAAGAGTTATTCCATTGCTTGAATGAATTAAGCGGGAATATTTAAAGATACATCGACAAAAACTCACCAAGAATTCTTTGCATTTCATTTTGTTTTTCAACTCGATCAGCATCACTTTTCTCTATCTTATCTGAAATAAGTAAGGGTTTTTTTTTTCTTAAAAAAGGCACATTAATTCATTTTAATCAGTATGGAGCTAAATTTAATTGTTTTATTTTACAATACGTTTCTGAAATTACTTTGTAAGTCATGCACTATTTCTTTTGTCGGTGCATCTTCCTCTATCTGCTTCTTCAGTTCTTCTATGAAATGCTTGTCACTGACAGGGTCCATTGTCTCTTGTCTCATAACATCTATCTGACTTTTGAAATGATTTCCGTTGCTGAGGAAAGAATCAAGATCGACAACAGCTGATCTGACAGTGGACCAGATTGTGTTGAAATCAGCATCGGAGAGGACTGAACTTGATGAAACTACACACTGATTTCTTGCTGTATGGATGCGTTCAATGCTGGCAGCGAGAGATCTATCAGCAGGGTCTGGTGCATTTCCCCAGCCTGTGCTGTGTGGTGGTATGCTACAAATGTTTCTAAGTAGTATGTACAATAAAGAAATGTTCATATCACTATAGTTTCCAGTATAACTACTTCCTGTAGGTAAAATAAGATTCATCTGGGGTGCGGTCAGACGTGGAAGGGTATTTGTTTTACGTAGAATTACGTGTTGAAATGATGGTGGTGGTATAAAATGACGTAGAACGTCCCTAAACTGATCTGTACACGGACCCAGGAGAAGTCGACATGCTCGACAGGCATTTGTTGGCTCCTCTGTGGACGAGTAAGGGGAGGCTGCCATAGTAGTTGTTTAATGCATCTCTGAAAGAACATTCAAATGAAATATAAACTGTTATTATGGAAGAAATCTTACATGTAAAAGGTTTTCTTAATTGAAAGTCGTCTGGGCTAAGTCATATACTATTCAAATGGACCCACGGACATTGATGGCCCCCGGGGGTAATCTTTTCCTGCTAAATCTCACTAAATGATGCCCACCTTTCATTTAAATATAATGGCAGTATTCATGTTTTGCTATGGGAAACCCAAATATGTGTTGAATAAAAAGTAAAATAGGAGGTGCACAATAGCAATATGTAATAAATATTCTGTGAAAGTTTCATCAAAATGCATTCAGTGTATGTGAGGAGTTGCGTTAGAGATATGTACTCCAACCTGTAACAGACAGACGGGCGTACAGACGGACGGACATCCCGATTACTATATACCCTCTCGTTTTTAAGCAGAGGTTATTACTAGAGATGATGTGAGCAATGAGCTCACTAAATGATAGACCCGCCTCCCGCATGAATATAATGGCAAAGTCCATGTTTTATAATGGAAAACCCAACATACGAGCGTATGTTTTGAATCAAAAAGTAAAATAGGAGGTCACAATGGCAATACACTAGACAAAACTGCTAATGCATCATTTTTTAATTCTAAGTTTTGAATTGAACATTTGCCAGATCTTTACTAGTATATAATATACCATTATTTCCAAAACAGTGGAATTGAAAAATATCTTGGTTATCATGAAAATGACCTTCTGATTCCAATCTGAAAACCAATTTTTGCCCAGATCTGGAATTCTTGATCACTAAAGGCGGTCTGTGAGGTTGTCACGGGAGAAGTCCTCCAGTTATAAATCAGATAACAAACAGCCATTGTTTGTACCTCGTTTTAGGTAATACATTCTTATTCGTATCGAATCAACTGAGATATACGAACTCCGTATGCAGGTGATGATGAAGGCATACATGTAATGCTGGACGATAGAAAAATTAAAGTCATCACGTTTATCAAAAAGCGTGGTTGTTAGATTACCATAACGTTTTTTTTTTCAAGTACATTATCCAAATATGAAACAGATGTGTCAGACTCTGTGGTATCTTTTATCTCAGGATCACCAGGATATATCGTATCGATGTAGGAATGAAAATTACAAATGTTAATTGACAATTCGTCGTCGTTATGTCTAAATGTCGAGTTAAAGACCACAGCAAGTGTTTTCTTCTTTTCTAACATAAGATTTTGAACAAATTCTGCTTCCTATGAATACAAAAATGGGTCTGCTAATAACGGAGTGCAATTGATAACCATACGAATTCCAATAGATTGGTGGAAGTTTTGGTCTTCAAATACCACATAGATATAGTCAATCAGAAACTCAAGCATCTTTCAACATCAGAATACTTTTGCAATCAGAATGTTTTTAACAAAATAATTTTTCAAATGACCAATGACCAGGTAAGCATGTGAAATTCTTCCCTTTGTAAAATCAACACTTAAGCGCCTCCTCGGAATATGATATTGCACGATACATCCGTTATATAGCTTAAAACGTGACTTCGTAATATAAAAGTCTTGCTTTATCTTTTTGATGTAATGAAAGCCAATGCTGTTTGAAATCAGGACTGTATCAAAGCATTCACTTTAAGTGATTGTAAAATATAACTATTATGGTCTTCAGTGAACGGTCACTATGTGGTTATAAAAACTCTAGGAAATAATATTGTCCTCAGATACAGAAAATTAGGCTCAGTCGCTATTACTTTGTCATGAGTCTTCATGTTCTGTTTTGTTTGTTTTTTCAGGAAATGGCACATGAGACATAAGATTGGCACATTAAAATCATAAGTTCACACATAGAATCCAAAAAACTCGTAAAAATTTAGTAAAAAAATACATTGTTCTTAAAACAGTAGCATCATATTATGAAAGACATTTACTTTAAAAGAAAAACATTTAAATCAGTGTATCGAAATGAATCTAAGAAAAGCACTATACGAGGGCTGTTTGAAAATTATTGAGACATTGTGTATATTTTGCTTTCTAATGAACGTTTTTGGGTGAAAAATTGCATATACGTTTGACATACATTAATAATTAATAAAAGCAAGAAATATTTTATAAATATTAAAATATTTTCTCTACAATGATATATAAATGTGTCAATAGTAGGGGTACCCGGAGCAGTCACGAAATCAGATATTGAAAATACGTAACACCGACATTCTAACTCTTTGTGGATCCATAATAAGACCGAAAATAATTCAGTTTAATGCTTAATCTTTCCCCTTTATTTCAAATTCATGTTGTGCAACTTTGATAGAATTTTGATCAGTAAATTAAGCGCAGTAGAGAAATCTGTTAACAACGACAAAATGGACTTTGACGTCAAGGGCGGAGCAGCCAGCCTACCTAAAATTGTGTGTAGTGCAATGTAGATCTATTTTCAAGACTGAACGACCTGTTAAAACAATAACAACGAGAAAAAATTATGTGTTGGGGTTTGTTATTTCATTGGTATGCATTTTTTTAACAATTAGTTTAACCAGAGTAAAATTAAAAGCTCTGGATGACTATGAGTTATTACGTACGGCATTAATATCGTTACGGTGTTAAACCCACGTTGATAAATCGGCACTGCATGATTCTAAGTTATCCTTTCCC